GGAAGGAAGGAAGGAAGGAAGGAAGGAAGGAAGGAAAGAAGGAAGGAAAGAAGGAAGGAAAGAAGGAAGGAAGGAAGGGAAAGAAACAATAACAACTAGCCCTCCCACTTCACCTTCTCCCCCACCCCTAAAAAAATAATAATAACTTTAACTTTGGTTATAAGACTATTTATTCATTCATTCATTATTTGCAGCCTGAGGTTTTCAGGGCATCATGGGTTCTAGACAAGGGCTCTACTGACAAGGCAGGTATCCAGTCCTTCCCTGCACTGGTTATTTTAACTTAAGGTCTCACCTTTTGCCTAGCTGCACTTGGACCATGATCCTCCGATTTTTGGCTTCTTACCATAGCTGGGATAACAGGCACACACTATCTAGCCCAGCTTTTTCCACTAAGATGGTGTCCTGCAAACTTTTTTGTCTAGGCTGATCTGGACCCTGGATCCTCCCAACCTCTGATGACAAGTGTGAGCTACCATATCACATTCATATTTGCTCTTTAAAAAAGAAATCACTGACAGAAAATGGAAATATAAAGACATACTGATATGGGAATTTGGTTACTTGAGTTTCTTGACTTTGTGATACTCAAAACTGTAGGTGCTGGGCCAGGAGTTGTAACTCCATGATATAGCACTTCCTTAGTTTTGTAGGCCCTAGGTTAAATCCTCAGCATCACACATACACATACACACACACACACACATATACACACACACACACACACACACATACACACAAACAAATATTATGATTAAACAGAAAATCACAGCTGAACATAAAATAGCGGGCATATTCTATATGCACGTTATATATTATAGCACATGCATATATGTGTAAATATACATGTGAACCTATGTACATTGTGAATGTACATATACATGTAAGTATACATACATGTATCTATGCATATATTCACATATGTATGTGTGAATGATCCACTATGCTTTAATATACACAAAGAAAGTCATGGAAGGGATAAAATGGAGCAAGAATGGTAGCAAAGAGAGAAATTGACACTAAAATATTATTCACTTTCCAAAATGCTTTATAAAATACTTCAGAATCAACATTTTATCTTCAAATAAGGGTTCTTAAAATTAATACATTATGACAATGAGATTGATTTTATTCTGCTGCTTTGGACCAAACATAAAATATGTGTTTTAGTTATAAAAAAAAAAAAAAGCTAACAAGATAGAGAAATATGGGCCCAGACTACAGAAATAAACCTAACAAGTTAGCTGGGCAGAGGTGGCTTGCCCCTGTAATCCTAGATATTTAGGAGGCTGAGATCTGAGGATCTTGGTCCAAAGCCAGTCAAAACAGAAAAATCTATGAGACTCTCATCTCCAAGTAAAACAAAAACCAGAAGTAGAAGTGTGGCTCAAGAAGTAGCCCACAAGGGGGCTGGGAAGGTGGCTCAGTGGTAGAGTGTTTGCCTTGCATGCCTGAGGCCCTGGGTTCAATTCCTCAGCACCACATAAGCAAACAGAAAAAAGCCGGAAGTGGCGCTGTGGCTCAAGTGGTAGAGCGCTAGCCTTGAGCTGAAGAGCTGAGGGGCAGCGCCCAGGCCCAGAGTTCAGGCCCCATGACCGGACCCAAAAAAAAAAAAAAGAAGAAGAAGAAGAAGTAGACCACAAGTGAAAAAGCTAAGGGATGGTGCCCCACTCTTTGTTTAAGCTCCAGTACCAGCACCAAAACAACAACAACAAAAAACTATCAATGAATCCACTGCTACCACTTCCAATTTCCAGAAGATCCCCCAAGAATATTTGAATATGCAAATATCTTTAACAATTGACAGTGATCCAAGTGGCTTGAGGGGGGGGGATCTTAATTTTAATTTCACTAACTATATGAAAGGAATGAAGAAAGCTTTAGATCCCCTTGGCAGTCTGGCAATAATGAACAGCACACAGTGTATGCATACCTGTGCATTCATTTCTGATAAATAGCTTCATGTAAAAAAAGTAGAAAGACAAGCCCATTTACCATGCACAACGAGTCTCTATAATCATAATCATACTTTCCCGGAGTTTGTTACATACAAATGTCTCACCAAAACCCCACACAATTATGAGCAAGCTGGCACAAACAAGGAATTGTTACCTTTGTAAAATCTAAATGCTAAAAGAGAAGAGTGTAAAATGATCCACACTGACATATTTCCTGCGAAGACAAAACATGCAAATACCAGCTCCACACAGGAGCCATGTAAGGCAGAAGTGGGGGAGGGGGGGTAAAGAAGGAAGGATGGAAGGAAGAAGGAAAGGAAAGGAAAATGTTCCTGTATTTTCATTCTTTCCCTCCATCCTCAGCACTCAAACATGAAGTGTCAAGCTGGTTTTCTAAAATTATGCAGAGCAAACATTACTAATGGAAAATTACAGTTGCAAGCCTTAACTTTTAAGGTTTATGAATGAATGAAGTTATTGCTCCTAACTACCTTGCTGGAATTTTTCCACTCTCATTTCAGTTCAAAATACAGTGTTTATGCTTCTCTCCAGCTTGGTAAGTCACCTTCAGACCAGCTCAAGGTTTCAATGCTGAAAGACATCCAAAGCTAGGTAATTTCTTACACTTCTACTAATTTCTTATATCTCTTATAGCCCTACAGGCTGGTGGACAGAGTTACTCATAGTTCACATTTCTTTCATTCAGTATCAGAAATGCAACAGTTGACATTTATTCTCTGTATTCTTCCACATACCTATGTTTCTTTTTAAAAGATAGGAATGATTTGTTCTGGGGTGTGTGTGAGAGAGAGAGGAGGGAGAGAGACTTGGGAGCTATCCCTTAGGTTTCGTTTTTGGGTTTTTTTTGGGGGGGGGTTGTTTGTTCGTTTTACTCAGGCTAGCATTGTACCACTTGAGCCACAGCCCCACTTCTGCTTTTTGCTGATTAATTGGAGAAAAGAACCTTACTGACTTTCCTGCACAGGCTGACTTTGCTTGAACAATGATCCTCAGAACTCAGCCTCCTGAGAAGCTAAGATCACTGGCATTAACCCTTCATAATGATTCAATTCTGTTCGAGTATTCTTTTTTTTTTTTTTTGGTCCGGTCGTGGGGCCTGAACTCTGGGCCTGGGCACTGTCCCTCAGCTCTTCAGCTCAAGGCTAGCGCTCTACCATTTGAGCCACCGCGCCACTTCCGGCTTTTTTCTGTTTGCTTATGTGGTGCTAAGGAATCGAACCCAGGGCCTCCGGCATGCAAAGCAAGCGCTCTACCACTGAGCCATCTTCCCAGCCCTCGAGTATCTTGAGAATGTTATTTTTCTCATGAAAAAAAAATATTTATACTTAATCCAAATCTTTGTTTGAGGGGAAGGGAAAGAGAGAGGAAGGAAAAGAGGAGAGAGGAAGATAGAGAGAAAGAGGAGGAGGGAGAATTCAGGAGAGAGACAACCACAGACCTCCTAGCTTTCCAGGCTTTGATGCAGAGTCTTTCCGGGAAGAAAAGCCATGGGAGACCTCCTGGGAAAGCCACGGCGGAGAAAGCAGCAATCTTGGGGTGAGTGGCCCCAGAATATCTTCTTCCCAACAACCATCTAGAAACCCGCGACGGCCCCTCACCACCACCCCAGCCCCGCGCTCGGCCCGCAGAAAGCCACGCTGCAGGTGCGCCCGACTCCTCCAGCAGCCGCCCGGTCGCTGCCCACACGGAACGCGCCCGGGTCCGGGCAGGCTCGGGGCGCCTTTAATCTGGCCAGCCCCAAGAAATGCGCCCTAAATTGCTGGCCCGGCTGCGCGCCCCGCGCTCGGGACGGGTCGTCGGGGATGCAGGTCCCGGGCTCTTGCGGGGAATCGCCGAGGGACTTCGGGGGACCTCCGTGTGGCCACCCCGGGGCCGTGGGGCGGCGCGAAACTAAGATGGGCATTAAAGGCAGCACTTGCAAAGCTCCCCCAGACTGCAGCCTGGGCCACCGTCCCCGTGCGACGCCCGCCCGGAGACGCCGGGACCAGCACTCACCTCCACCCATCTCTGAGCCTCGGCGAACGCCCCGGAGCAGTCGACCTCGGCCTCCTCCATGACTAGGGCTAGACCCGGACAGAGCGAGAGGAGAGACAGGCTCGGTGGGGTGCGCGCCGGGGAGCCCGCAGTGTCCCCCACGCGTCTCGGCCCGGCGAGAGGACGGACGCTCCGGCTGGCAGCACCGGCTCCCCTCCCCTCTGTGGCGCTCGCAAGTTCAAGTTTAAGGAATCCACCCGCACCGGTGGGCGGGGCTTTCTCCAAACTTCCCCAAGTCAAAAACCTGCAGCCACCGGCGGGACTCAAGCCCGCGCCCGCGCGCGCGCCCGCGCG